ATATATATATATATATATATATATATATATATATATATATATATATATATATATATATATATACACACACACAGTGGTCCCTCAGTTAACGAGTTACGTTCCATAAGATTCTTAACTTCGGTTAACAAGCAATCCCTCGATTAACCAGTTTCTTACGAGCTGACCACATGTTTTAGCTTGCATTTGGCGGTCCACCAGCTGTAGTATTAGTTTGCCAATACAGTAATCGGTTCTAGGGCTTAAATTCCTTACCCTTTTAGTAGATATCAAGAAGTTTATACTATTCAATAATTTTAAAAGTTTAATATTAAATTTTTTCGTAATTTTAACAATTATTGAACATAATTGAAGGTAGAGTCACTAGTTTGTGGCACGCCATCCAGCCTGCCAACACACCATACAGCCATCAGTCTTTGTGTATTTTCAGTGGAGGTAACATCTTGCTTGAGACTCTCTTCAACTAAACGCTTTTTTTCTGTGTATACAAGCAAATTATTGGTCATTTTGAAATTTACTTTACATATTGACAATATATAATGCAGTGCAGTGTTGATTTAAAGAAAATAATATTGAATTACACCAAGAGAACTAAAATTTTATGGGTGAAATGGCGCCATGGGGTGACTTCTCTTCCACCCCAATGCCTTCTCTTCTTCCTTCTCCTCCACCCCCATTCTAATTCCCATCATCATCATCATCATCATCCAGGAGCCTTCTACATACACACCTCAAAGTAAGTGTACTTTTCTACCCTTTTTGTTGAATTTAGGCAATTTTCGGTGAGCTGGAACCAATTACCCAAAAACCCATTAAAATAATGGTTTCGGTTAACGAGCAACCTTCTAGAACGGATTGTGCTCGTTAACCGAGGGTCCAGTGTATATATATATATATATATATATATATATATATATATATATATATATATATATATATATATATATAGTTATAGTTATAGTTATAGTTATAGTTATAGTTAGTTAGTTAGTTAGTTAGTTAGTTAGTTAGTTAGTTATAGTTAGTTAGTTAGTTAGTTAGAGTTACCCGGTCAGTCATGGGCCGTGGGTTCGAATCCTGGCGGGTTGAGGTGTTGATTGTATATACAGTGAACCCTCACTTTACGTGGTCAATTGAACCCAAGGCGGCCCGCGTAAAGTGAACGACATAACATATGGGATTAATTGAAATAGAGACCGGGCCGACCCCCAAACTCCACTTTTTCAGACACAATACCTACGTTGTAGTCAAAATAACTTCTTAATTTTATGATGGTATGCACACACAATTAATAATTAATAGAAATATCAATAATATTAGGTTTTTTAACACTTGCATTAGTAGAAAAGATGGCTGGGCACACGGGGATGGGGGGTTGGTTCCGACGCAGAGGGCAGATTATTGGCCCTCACCTGTATCACTTGTATCACTATCCACCACAGAGGCTTGCAGGGCCTCTTTGTCAAACCCCTCAAAGTCCATATAAGTCCATATCCTCACTATCATTATCACTATCACTGACTTGGGCCGGCTGTGGTGGGTGAAGAACTCGGTAATGTTTTGATGACTGGGCGACCTTGTGCGCATCCTGCCCGCGCCGCTTCCCGCGTAAAAGGGTACACACACCGCGGAAGGTGAGCATTCCGTGTTCAGCAGGGTACCGCGTAAACGTGGAAACGCGAAAAGTGGGACTGCGTAAAGCGAGGGTTGACTGTATATATATACAGTATGTATATATATATATTATATATATATATATATATATATATATATATATATATATATATATATATATATATATATATATATATATATATATATATGCATTTATGCATTTATGCAAGTAAATCACTGTAGGTGCGCGTGATCTAGGTATATGCTGATAACCACAAGGAAAGAAGAAAACACGAAGTTCCCAAGCGCTTTCGTGTAATTCACATCTTCAGGGGTGAGTACAGACTAAAGAGAAATACAAACCAAGGTGTATATATACAGAGGAGGGTGAGACCAGGTCCATAATGGTCAGGTATTAGGTAATGACCCTACTAATCTTTAAATAGCACACAACGGTTGGTGGTCAGGTCAGAGGGTAAGGCGACCCAACTTTCTCACCTGGTCACAAATCTTCTTAATTACAAAATTGTCCAGTTTGTACAGGCCATTACTCAAATTCATGTTGAATATATATATATATATATATATATATATATATATATATATATATATATATATATATATATATATATATATATATATATATATATATATATATATATATATATATATATATATATATACACACACAGGTTGACAACCCTTTATCCGAAATTCCAAAAACCGAAAAGCTCTAAAAACCGAAAGTTTTTTTGTGGGTCATTGTTTTTTGTTTTTGTTTTTTCAGGGATTATTAGCCCACCCAGGCATAGATCACTGACCCACATCGGGGCCTGGGGGGGGGCGAAAATGTAATAGTAATAATAATTATAATAATAATAATTATTCATAGTAAATAAAAATTGTAATAAAAATATACCAAAATAAAATAATGTGATAACAGTAATAATAATAATAATTTATAATAATAATAATAGTAATAATAATAATAATGATAATAATAATAATAAAATAATAATAATAAAGAAATACAAGAATGAAAAAAATATCAAAAGTGAGAAACACGACCAAGACCTATGAAGTTATTATTATTATAATTTTATTATTATTATTTTCGATCCCCCAGGCCCCAATGTGGGTCAGTGATCTATGCCCGGGTGGGCTAATACACATTAAAAAAAAAAACCCTAACCATTCTGAAAACCGAAAAATTCAGAAAACCGAAATGCCTCTGGCCCCAAGGATTTCTGATAAAGGATTGTCAACCTGTATATATATATATATATATATATATATATATATATATATATATATATATATATATATATATATATATATATATATATATTATTTCTTTATTTTACAAAATCCACACAGCAGTATTGTAGTGGGGCATCTGGAAGTCTGCCACCAGCAACTGACTTCAAATATAAAGTAGAGGAACAACAGAGTCTTGAGAGCCGCAGAAGTAGCAGTAGCGGCATCAAGAAGGTGGCAGGAGATGAGAAAATACGTGGTCAGGAAGCAACTTCTGTTTTAACATGGCAACCTTCAACAATTTAACTGACCCTTTGTCCAAATTCTGCGGCCACCCATTTTGGGTAAGTCAGTATGTTTGTTTGTCATTGTATGAATAAAGTTCTGTATATATTTCATGGGATAACCTGAAGATTAGTCCCCAGTTTATTCCACCTTAAGATTAAGCATCCAAATATACCAACTTAACATAACCTAACATCTAAGAAACTAATTTAATCTAGTACGGTATAACATAACATTACATTAACCAATACAACTTAACAACATAATATGACTTAACATAGCATAACATAACATAGGTATTAGGCAGATCCAAACAGGGAGGTACTACCTCCTGGGAAGGTATTGGAAGCGTAATGTGTGCCAGGCCAAGGTGCAATTATTACAAGGGAAATTACAATGGGATGAGGGAAGAGATGAGTGGTATCAACTGGCCTGACTCATTAAGGTACAAGAACGCGGACACTACGCTGAATATCATAACTAGTAAAGTGACCCATTTGATCGATAAATATATACCGAAGACCAAACCCAGTGCTTCTAGGAATACGAGGGGATCCCTGCACATGAACCATGTGGCAGTCGAAAAAATTAAGAAGAAAACCCAGAAATTCAAGACGTGGGTTGGGTCAAACGATGAGCAAGACAGGAGGATGTATGTAAGAACCAGAAACAAAACAAAGATAGAGTGTAGAAGGGCTGAAAAGGAGTTCCAGAGGCTGGTTGCACGCGAGGTCAAGTCAAACCCAAAGGCGTTTTACCGCCATGCAAAGTCGAAATTGAAAACACGAGTAGGAGTATCAGACCTGAGGCTTGTGGATGGTAGTTACGCAGATTCTGACCAGGATAAAGCTGAGGCATTGAACAGCTTCTTTTCCTCTATGTTCACAAGAGAGGATGCAACTAACCTTCCTGCGTTTGAGGAGACACAGTTCGACACAGCACTGACCCACAATGTGTTCACAGAAGAGGGTATTAGAAATAAACAGTCCAGGCTAAAGGTCCATAAGAGTCCCGGTCCTGCCATGGTGCATCCTTGAGTGCTAAGAGAGCTGTGTAACGAGCTTGCAGAGCCCCTGAAGATCCTGTTTTGTAAATGCCTGGATGAACAAACGGTCCCCAGTGAATGGAAAGTGGCTCATGTGAGTCCTATCTTCAAGAAGGGTGATCGGCACTCCATGAACAACTACAGGTTGTACCTCTCTAGTCTGGCATTCTGTGGTCCGGAAACTCCCGTGGTCCGGAACGATTTTAGTTTGCCCAAATTGGTAGATAGGCAGCTTTTTTTTTTTATAACTTATCTGAGGGGCCCCAATGTGGGCTAATCCCCATAAAAAAAAGCCGCGGGAAATTAAGGTTTGTTTACATCCGGCAGTTCGACTGCTTTCTCTCTGCTTGTCTATACAGAGTACAACATTTAACCCTTCAATATATATGAGCAGTAAATATGTGTTGCTTTCATATTCTTATGTAGAGTAATGACGATATGTTTTCACATGTGCACACGTACATACGCGCAGTCTCACTTTTTTTTTTTACAATTAATGGTTAGCTACTTATATTGTTCCATTTATTAACATTAAATAACATTACTTCAAACAACCATATTAATTTTTTTGCATTACTTTTACTACAGCTACAATCAAGGTCTTATTTTCTTCAGTTTTATATGTAGAACCAATCAGTCACTGGTTTTGAAAACATTAACGAAAACAAGGCTGGCAGCCATCTCGTCTCCTTGCGTGTTTAAATATTCCACGTATTATTAATGAATTGTATTTTTCATTTTGCACACACAAACATTAATTCAATAAAAAGAAAATTCAGAAACATTAATTAAAATATATATGAACGGTAAATAAGTGTTGCTTTCATATTCTTATGTAGAGTAATGACGATATGTTTTCACATGTGCGCAACTTACATACGCGATCTCTCTTTTTTTCTTTACCAGTATCGTTAGCTACTTCTATTGTTCCATTAAATAACATTACTTAAAACAACCATATTAATTTTACTGCAGCTGCAACCAGGGTCTTATTTTCTTCAGTTTTATATGTAGAACCAGTCAGTCACTGGCTTTGTAAACAACGATAACAAAGCCGTCTCGTCTCCTCGTGTGTTTTAATATTCTACATATTATTAAAGAAATGCATTGCTTATTTTGCACACAAACATTAATTCAATCAAAAAGACATTCAGTAATAAACAATAATGAATCATTTGTACATAAGAGACATGACGCTGTTTACACAATTGTGCACGTCTGAATGTTGGTGGACCGTTCAAACCCGTCGAAATTCGAGTTTCCGCCGTTAAAATTTTTAATTGTTTTTTTTTTTGTGTTCCAATAAAAAACGTTGAATTAAAAACTCGCGAAATTTGAAAAGCTACTGTACGACATTTAACCCTTCAATTTGTCTTCAAAGAGACCATGAAGCAGAGAAAGTGGTGCTAGTGCTTCCAAGCAAAAGCACAAGTCACTCTCTATCCAGGAAAAGGGTGAATTTTCATGGTCCGGAAATTTCCATGGTCCGGCACCGGTCAAGCCCCAAGGTTGCCGGACTAGAGAGGTACAACCTGTATAGACCAGTGAGCCTGACCAGCATAATATGTTAGGTACTTGAGAGTATTATCAGAGATGCCGCAATGGAACATCTAATACGAAACAACCTTGTAAAGGATTGCCAACACGGTTTTATGCTGGGGCAATTGCTCAAGGTATTGGATATTTGGACTCATATTCTGGAACGGGGTGGAAATATCGACATTATTTACCTAGATTTTGCCAAGGCTGAAAATCAAACTGGAAGGGTACAGAATTCGGGAAATGTCCTTGCATGGATAGAAGACTTCCTACATAACCGCAAGGAGTGTGTGGTGATTAATGGCACGAAATCGTCATCCGTATCTGTCACAAGTGGGGTACCACAGGGCTGTGTATTGGGCCTCCTGTTGTTTGTTTGTTTCATAAATGACATGCCTGACGTTGTACACTCCTCCATACAAATGTTTGCCGATGACGCTAAGTTATTTCGGGAAATTAAGAACCAAGCTGACTGTGAAGAGCTGCAGAAGGACCTCTGTGGGCTCCAGGAATGGTCGAAGGAATGGCTGCTGAGATACAATGTCACGAAGTGTAAGAGGATGCACCTGGGGCGTACCAACGGTAAGGAGGCGTATCATATGTCCCAACGGGATGAAAAAACTGCACCAGTTGAGACTGAATGTGAGAAGGACCTAGGTGTGTATGTTGACAATGAGCTGAAGTTCTCGAGCCATTGCGAGAAGAAGGTAAACCAGGCAAATAAATTATTGGGTCTTATAAGAAGGTCGTTCAGATATCTAGACGGTCCGTCCCTCGTAACGATCTTCAAGAGTGAAGTGCTTTCCCGTCTGGAGTACTGTCACCCAGTCTGGTCCCCGAGATATGCTAGGGACTGTCAGTTGATTGAAAATGTTCAAAGGAGGGCCACCAGACTGGTGCTTGCACTTCGGCACCTCAGCTACCCTGTGAGGTTGGAGCGCCTGAACTTGCCTAGCTTATATTACAGACGGGCAAGGGGGGACCTAGTAGAAGTGTATAAGCATCTCAGGGGGCACTACTCAGTCGAGTGTCCTTACTTGGAGCTGGCGGACGCTCGCCCCACAAGGGGTCACAGCTCAAGATTGAAGAAGCCGCAAGTCCAAAAAGCTGTGAGGGCAAACTTTTTCGGGGTGAGGGTTGTAAACTCTTGGAACAATCTTCCAGAGAGTGTTGTGACGGCACCGAGTGCGAGCTCTTTCAAGACAAGACTTGACCAACACTGGAGCAGGTTCAGGTACATTCAGGAGCCGGTGTATGCCCAGTATTTGCCAACAGTGCGTGACAGAGACGTGACCAATCGCCCGGGTGGCTGATCTTTTGGTGAAGAGGATAAATGAAAAGTAATTAGAGACGTGACCGATCGGCCAAGAGGCTAACGAGCCGATCAGTGGCAAAGAGGATAAAAGAATGGTAGACCCTGCTGCCATATGGCATCACGAAAATTGTGACCAAGTTCCAGGTTGCTGATCTGACTTTCTGCCTCATTTACACACAATTGCAGGGTCTCAATTGTTTCTCTTACTTTGACAACACAACGTACTTATCGTTTCTCACTGTTGATCTGTTTTGTGTTTATCTATGGTCCTTTATTAGTATTAGTATTATTATTATTATTATTAATATTATTATTGTTATTATTTTTATTATTAATCTCTTCTCAACTTACGACGGGGTTCTTTCCCGACGACCAGGTCGTAAGTCGAAAAGGCGAAAGTAATACATAGAAATTCCAAAATGGGTGTCTTTTTTTCTCAGCACCATGAGAACTCTCACTTTTACGCCTGCCAGCCATTTAAAGGGAATTACAAACGAAAATTTTGTCAGTACACAGCGTTATCACTAACGTCGGGACTCGAAAATACGTAATGTGAAAAATATTTTATACGACTGGCCGTCATATGTCCGGGTTCTCGTAAGTCGAGGAGAGACTGTATTATTATTATTATTATTATTATTATTATTAGTAGTAGTAGTAGTAGTAGTAGTATTATAATTATATTTCCCCCCCCCCCCCTCCATGCCCTGATTTGGGTCATTAATCTGTGCCCTGGTGGGCTAATCCTGTAAAAAGCAAAAACAAAAAACCTAACCCCTCAGGTAGCATGGTAGCAATAAGATGCTCAATTATCATGTGGAATAAACCGGTGGCTAATGTTCTAGTGATCTGTTTCATGTGTTTAGTTATAATTAAATACAGAGAACAAGGTTTGTATACAGTGAACCCTCACTTTACGTGGTCAATTGAACCCACGGCGGCCCGCTTAAAGTGAGCAACAGAACATATGGGATTAATTAAAAGAGACCGGGCCGACCCGCAAACTCCACTTTTTGCAGACACAATACCTACGTTGTAGTAAAAATAACTTCTTAATTTTATGATGATATGCACACACAATTAATAATTAAGAGAAATATCAATAATATTAGGCTTTTTAACACTTACATTAGTAGAAAAGATGGCTGGGCACACGGGGATGGGGGGTTGGTTCCGAGGCAGAGGGCAGATTATTGGCCCTCACCTGTATCACTATCCACCACAGAGGCTTGCAGGGCCTCTTTGTCAAACCTCTCAAAGTCCATATAAGTCCATATCCTCACTATCATTATCACTATCACTGACTTGGGCCGGTTGTGGTGGGTGGCGGGTGAAGAACTCGGTATTGTTTTGATGACTGGGCGACCTTGTACGCACCCTGCTCGCGCCGCTCTCCGCGTAAAAGGGTGCACACACCGCGGAAAGTGAGCATTCCGGTTTCGGCAGGGTACCGCGTAAACGTGGAAGCGCGTAAAGTGAAACCGCGTAAAGCGGGGGTTTACTATTAACAAATCATGGAGGATTTGTGGAAACAGTCTTGTCTTAGTAATTCTTATCCTTTGGGGTTTATTTTTAATGAAAAGCGTGTGCTTCAAGACTCTTTATTGAGGAATTCTAAGCCTTCAGGAATATTTTCTTACCTATCATCTCTGCCCCTGGTCAGCTCACTAGTCAGCCAGTAGTGAGTTCTCTGTTACTTACTTATCTAATTCACCCCAAGTCAGCTCACTAGTCATTCAGTCATAGGTTCTCTTTTTACCTGTACTGTACTTACTTATCATCTTCACCCCTGGTCAGCTCTCTAGTCAGTCAGTTAGTCAGTCAGTCAGTCAGTTGTTACATACTGTTGTCAAGTACTTTCCATGAAAATTTTGTCCTTTCACTCTCAGAAGTGATATTGGAGGGTTATGTAGCTGTAGTTTTAAATACAGTATTTTGCTGGTACAATTTTTACAGTACACAAAGCCCTCTATCCCACCCCTTCCCAGGCAATTTGCATACCTCTCAATATGTCCTGGGTTCAATTCCCTCTTCATGCCAGTTGTGAGAAGGTCAGTTATCCAGTGTGACCCTATCAAACATGACATGTTTACTTCTGGTTCCCTCCCGTAATAACATTGGACAATGAAGGTCTAGTAAGCTGACAAGCGGTGAAAATGACAAATTAAAGCCCCTCCCCTCCCTTCCCCCCATATGTATTGAAAAGTTAGTGCCATTAATGTACTTACCCAAGATCATACTTGTCCAGAGAAATAGATGTTTTTAGTGTCTGCAGCAGGCATACTGAAATTCTTTAATGATGAATCTAAAAAACAATATCATTGGATTATAGACTTTATATTTTCCAGAACGTCAGTACTGCTTGGGATACATATGACCCAGATTTGGGCTTGTGTCTGGAGCGGACAGTACTAGTATGGGGGCCATGTCTCTTCCTGTGGGTGTGTGCCCCAGCCTACATCATGAAACAGCGACAGACAAGTGAACCTGCCATCCCCTCATCACCTCTCCTGTACTTCAAAGTGGTGAGTCCTGTGATGTATTAATGGCATCAGAAGATTTCATTAGTATCATGAATAATGGTGTCAACCTAATTTTTATAGTGAACATGTCAATCCTTTCAACCACATAATCACTTTTAATGAAATTCACATTTACTAGTACTCACCACGAGCTTGTCATCAGATCACTTCACAGTACTGTACTCTATTAGTTTAACTGAAAATAATTGTCAGTAACATTATTAATGAGTAATGTGCCACTTGTACTTTCAGGTGTTTTCACTACTAGCAGCAGCAGCAGCAGTGGCAGAGTTGTCATTAGTGGAGATACTGTCAGCCTCTAGCTATGATTTTGTAACTCCACTCACCCTCATTCTTTCTTATGCAAGTACAGTCTTATCTATTGCTCAATATATACTGTATTTGTTTTCCTTTTCATCAAATTGCTGTACAGTATTGATACTTTCAGTGATTGGTTATGTACACTTAAATTATTGTGTGTAGCAGTGCACTCCATTTTTTATAACTGGCAAGGAAATAGAAAGGGAACTTGATGTAAATATTAACCTCATTTACCTAATGGCCACCCACTAGAGGCGGTCATACTGATGGAAGGAGGTCAGTGGCTTCTGTAGGATCCCTCCATTGTTCTTGATAGTTTGTCTAGGGCTATTTTGAAGCCCAGTACTGTTCTCGATTTAACAGCTTGAGGCGGTAGACCATTCCATAGCTCTACCACCTGTGTGAAGAAATATTTCCTTATGTTTGTTCTGCATTATAACTTGGTCCTGTTTAATGTTTTCCATATCTTTCATGATCTTAAATGTCTCAATGAGATCTGCCCTATGGTGTCATATCTGAAGTGTTGTTAATCCTAAGACCTTCTGAACTAACAACAATTCAGATACGACACTAGACAACTATAATGCCAAATTTAACTACAAATTTGAAAATAATAATAAAATACTGGGCTGTAATATTCTCTATCTAGAATACAATGATACATATTGTATTTTTCAAGAACATCAGTAAGCATCCGTCACAATAGAACCTTTATATTATATTATAAAGTTGTGTTACATTTCAGTGTTTGCAAGTATTTTTGGTATTGTTTGGTCGTCGGTGTGGGGAGAGAAGCAATGGTCTGATCTGGTTGTTCTGGCTCACTATGGTGTTGTGTGGTGTTCCTCAACTTAAGTCATCACTTTCATCCACTGTTTATAATGTAAGTTGTATAATACATGTAGTGTACTGTATTCTGATTTTGTTCTACCATGTGACACAGAAATTAGAAAAAGAAAAGTTTTAAATCATTAATAAAGGGAAATTTTGGATTGATCATAACATACTTGAGTAAGAGACACAAAACTGTACATTATATTTTACAGGATGGCCCACTGGAGATGACAATAGCATTCCTGGTTCAGTACATTGCTGCTGTTTTGTTGTTGTCTCTAAACAGCTTTGCTGATAATCCTCCTAACTCTCACCTGCTCAACAAGGTAAACCAAGTGGAAACTCTAGTTATTTCTGACACCTGGTTGTCATTGTCTTATGATACATTTTGTTCTGTATTCCTACCTGTTGCAACTGACTGCTCTGAAGAACTCGACCCAGGAAGGGGGGTGGCTTGATAGAAGAGCCACCTCCTACTACTTATTTCGCATCTATTTTGTCTTCCTTCTCTTCTTTCCCACCCACGCTCTAGTTTTCTCCTATTACCCAGTCTGCCCAAAAGGGTGTCAAACCGATATAAATTACCCTCAAAAAAATTTTTGTAGCATTGGAAGTGAAAATTTATGTAGATTAAAAAAATCATGTGCCTCAATTTGCCTCATTTGATCAAAAATAGTCATCTGCATTTGAATAGAGGGGGACTTAAGACAAAATGAGCCCTTGATGCTAATAAAGGTGACTTAGTGACAGCTTCCATGTCACTCATTGCACAATGTCCTTGTGAGAGGTTTGAATAATAGACCAGGTTCTTTGCAGACTTTACTCTTGCAGCGTCAGACAGTGACTGGCAACCCGGCGCTGCCACAGACAAACTCCCGCCACCACACATGGGAAAACATATCATATAATGGTATTCAATCTCACATCTCCCCCTAAGTTAAAGGGAAATGACAATGCACATTAGAACTAACGAAAGGAAAACAATGCAGTCATAAAAAACAATAATGCAAGAAAAAACAGTCAAACAAAGACACACACACAAAACAATCTAAACTAATTTTACGCCACATACACTACACCACGTAGTCAGCCAACCAACCCGGGGGCCTGCAGCCTCTCCCGGGCCTGGCCAAGCCCAACTGGGGAGGGGTCAGGGGTGCGAGCGAGGGCGCAGGTACGGAGGGCACCGCAGGAGGCATAGCGTGATGCAACACAGGAGTGGTAGGCACAGGGGTGGTGCCGCATCGCAGGTGGCGTCTGTTGCGGATGGACACCCTGCCACTGCCAGTCAACCTGACGGCATACTGCCTGTGTGGGCGGGCTTCCACCACTATGCCAGTCCTGTCCCAGAGCTTGGTAGTGGCTTCCTGTACACGCACCTGCATGCCCACAGCTAGGGGAGCCAGCTGGCGGAACACCTCCCCATGCGACAGAAGGATCCCGTCTTGGGTTTCAGCCAACCACACCTCCATCATACGAAGTGCCCGCCGCCAGTGCTGGTCCACCTTATAGTGCTGTCTGGCCATGGGAACGCCGTCAAAGAGCTGGTGGCCGGTGGCAAGTTGGCAGGTGACTTGTTCACCCCCCCACAGAGGAGTGTTCAGATACTGGAGGAGGGCCTGGGATGTCCTATCACAGTTCAGGCTACCCCCGGGCCCAGTGTTATCCCTGAGGAGCCTCTTGGCGGCCTTGACCTCAGCCTCTGCCCTGCCATTGGACTGGGGGAAGTGGGCCGATGAGAGCCGCACCTCCACCCCCTATGACTTGAGGAAATCTGTCATCTCACCTCTGTCAAGGTTGGTACCTCCATCCGTGGGGATCTGCTCAGGAGCCCCACACCTCGTGAAGTAACCCTGCAGACGGGTGATGATCTTCCCAGAGGTGCCCGTGTTGAGGAAGTGGACGATCTCCAGCCAACCTTTCAGTCGGTCAGCATATGCCAGGTACGTGTGGCCCTGCAGGTGGAACAAATCGGCCACCACTTGTTGAAAGGGATAGTCTGGCACTGGGGTCAAGACCAACGACTCTGGAGGCTGGGAAGGGGCGTGGGTCTCGCAAGCAGCACATCGGGACCGATGATACTGCAGGTCACCCTCCATGCCAGGCCAATAGACAGACTGCCGGGTCCGCCTGAGCATGGAGTCGAGGCCCTGGTGCCCCACGTGCAGGTTAACGGCGACCCGGTGGCGGAGGGAGTCGGGGATGACAAGGCGCAAGTAGGCCTGGTCAAAGGTGTAGGTGACCAAACCCCTGACCACAGCCAACCTGTCCCTCACCAAGAAGTACGGACGCAGACAGACCACCTCCTGTGATTTGTGGGGGCGCCAGTCGCCCGCCAGCACCCTCGACACTAGAATCTGGTATACTGGGTCGTCCGCAGCCGCTTTGCACACGGTGCCTTTGTCCATAGTGATGCATCCATCCTGATCCAGTGCTGCGATTGTGACCGCACACACTGCAGTGCCCAGGTCCTTCTCTTGGTCCACATCCTCCGTGTCGGGCGCCGCCCTGAGGGAGGGGAAGCGGGATAGGGCGTCAGCTGCACAGTTCCTCTTTCCTGGCAAGTATTTGACCATGAACCGGAACTGCAGGGTCTTCTCCTTGAGCCTGAACAGGCGTGGATTTGCCACATCCGTGAGGGCTCTGTCGCCTAGCAAGCCAACTAAGGGGCGGTGGTCCGTCACCAGAATGAGGTTCGGGCAGCCAAGGAGGAACAGCCTGGCCTTGTGCAGGCACCATACCACCGCCAGGGCCTCCCTTTCTACTGCATCTTAGCCAGCCTTGGCCATGCTCAGATGCCGGCTACTGCACAGAGCCAACCGCCACCCTCCCTTGCAGCAGAAGGGCTTCTCTGGCGAGGCACCAATCCGTGACAGCTGCCGTAGGCCTGGATTTGTCTTAGTACACCAAGCCGTCCCTGGCCAGCTGACAGATGGTGTCCTGGACCTAGCGAAACTTGAGCCGCAGCTGGTCGTCCCAATACACCCACTTGCCCACTGGCTTCTTGAGGAGCTCAGGAAGGGCTCCATCACAAGTGCAGTGGCAAGGAAGGGAGTCAACTGGTTAACCAGGCCATGCCAGGACCTGATGTCAGTGATTGATGGCTGATCAAGCATGGGGAAGTCCTTGATGGCTGACAGACGTTGGGCAGTGGGCTGGTAGAGGTCCCACCCCAGGAGGTAACCCACAAACTGGGCTTCTCTCCTGCAGAACAAGAACTTTTCTGGTTTCAGTGTGATACCTGTGCGAGAGTAGGTCTCCGGAAAATCGTAGGTGTGCCAGAACGCCCCCTTCACACTGGAGTCATAGAGGAGAGTGTCATCTACACACTTGTACTTGCGGGGCACATCCTGAATAGCGTCGTCAAACCTCTTGGTGTAGGCATCTGACGCTGAACATTGTCCCATGGGCGTCCTGTAGTATCGAAAACGGCCCCACGGCGTGATGAATGTGGTCAGGCGTCTACTCTGCTCCTCCAACTCCACCTGATGAAATCCCCAGAAGGCATCAGCGACGGTTTTGAATGAGTGCACTAGCACCCCGGACACCATGTCGAATGGTGCAGGTGTGTAGTGCATCTCCCTCAGACAGCTTGCATTGAGGCGTTGGAAGTCCACAGTGCGCCTGGGCTGACCGTTTTTCTTGGTCACCACGACCATCCTGGCGCACCACTCCGTAGCCTCACCAACAGGCACTGGCTGGGTGACGCCTCTCCTGACGTCCTCCTCCAACTGGGCCTTCACCCCCGCTTCCCAGTGTTTCGGAATGGGAGAAGGTGTGTGACAGGCGTAGGGGGTCGTGCCGGGCGTCAGGTGGATATGGTGAGGGGGACCAGTCATGCCTGGCAGTGGGGACCTGCTGGTGTTGAATGCGGTGGATGAAAAGTGCATGAGCAGCCATGCCTCCAGCCTGGCCACATTCTCCTCCAAAGGAGGCAAGGGCCTCTCAACTGGCCTAGGAGGGACATGACTGCTCTCAGGTCCATGGTTCGGAGGTAGGTTGTCGGCAGTGTGCCGCTCCCCTCCATCGCCCACGGCAGCCACAGCACGCCTATGGAGTGGGAAGTCGACAGGCACCAACTTGAGGCACTTGCATGCCTCCAATGACAGGTAGAAGGCCTTGGCTGTTTGCACGAAGTAGACCTCCTGGACGGTGGACCCCTCGTCCACACTGAGGCGCCAGGGGGCGGACCCCAGACACTTGAGCTGTTTGTTCGCCACCTCCTTCAGGCCATTACGGGCCCAAAGTTGCCCAGGACACAAACTGATGTCCTGGAGCAGGGATGGCCCTGCCACACACACACCATAGCACCCGTGTCAGCCACAGCCAGCACAGGGGTGGCGGGGGAATTGACCCCAGCCTGGGTCACGAACACTTGTAACCTGGGGTGGTGGGATAGCTGGGCTGTTGCCACTGTGACAGCACCTGACACATCCACAGAAGCACTTAGGACTGACTTACTCCTACAACACCTTTTGAAATGACCAACCTTAGAGCAATTGCGACATGTGGCTCCACTTGCAGGGCAGTTGCTTTTGCCTGAGGCATGTGTCACGCCGCAGTTCCCACAGTGCGCACGACTGGGGTGCCCAGGTCGGGTGGCAGCTACCTCATTCTGACCCGTGATGTCACCACCAACCGCCGCTGCCTCCGTAGCTGTTCCCGCCACTGCCTGGCCAGACGTACGACACAATACACCAGCATCTCTCACTGCTGCCTCAAATAACATACATTTGTTTCTAAGCACTTCAACTCTATTATAACTGGAGTACCCCTGGAAAATTTCCCTTTTCAACCCTGAGTCACTCAGGCCCACCATAACTTTACATAATAGCATGTACTCAGAGAGGTTGCTATCACAGGTGGGACTTTTAAATTTACACTCCACTGCCTCTGCGAAGCATCGTTGAAAGTACCTTTCCATGGGCTCCTCTTCACCTTGTTTGCTGTTGAAAAACTCGTTCCTTTTCACTGCTTGGTTTGACGATTGACGAACCACTCCACTGATGGCATCCAGGGCTTCCTTGGGTGAGAGCTGCTCCCACTGATCGCTGGGATATCTCGAGTCAATCACCTTTTGGAGTGCAGGGATGCAGTTCAGGCAATGTGGAGTGTGTCCACCAGTTGTGACCATCTGTTCAACATCACCCACGACTCCATGGACCACCTCCACATCCTAAACGCTGCTGCTGGCATTTCTGCCTCGCACTTCTCTGGAGCGACCGCTGCTGAGAGCTTCATGACCGGCGTAGGGGCATGACCGTGGCCGCCAGTAGCTAGAACATGCCATCTGAGCCATCAGTGCACTGATGGTCTGCTGGTCGGT